CCCCCCTTCTACAATTACTTTCTGCTTATTGCCTTGCCCTTCGGGACTAACAGTTATTCAATATTCAATTTCTAGGGTTAATTTTTGTGATGAAGCGTATGCATCAATGAGAAAATGTTCTTCTTTGTGATTACAGACATAATGATCAAGGGTTATTACTCATATGACAGTGGAATCCAGACATCCCATCTATTCTCTTGGTTCATCTATCAATACTACTTTACCACATGCTACTTCCTTTCTATGCGTAAATACAGTTTACTAAAACTCTATGTTTGAATTTGTATAACTAATAACAAATACTCATAATCGTAACAGGATAAATGTCTTATTTTAAATATAAAAAATCTAAAATATAATTAGGATAATCATTCTAACAGAATACTTAATTCTTATCTTTATAAAAAAATTATATTATTAAACCAAAAATAAATTACTTTTTTTATCAAACCTAAATTAGGTTATAATAAAAAAAAACATTGAATTAAAAGAATTACACAAAAAAAAAATTAAATAGTTAATTTGATACAATATTTTTTTCAAAGTTTTATGATATCTTTAAATTTATATTTTATTAAAAAACAGTATTGCTTTCTCAATACCACATAAAACCGTATTATAATATCGATAGAGACAAAAAAATAAAATGAAACATTAAAATCAAGATGTATTTCGCTGCATTGCACGAGTACCCTTCTAGTTATATTTAATATTTAATAATATTTATATATTTATGAAATCGTTTAGTCTTATTATAGGATAAGTGAAATATCTCGTATTTATCTACTTGTAACCCATATTTATATAAAGAACTTATGATTAGCGAGAATTAAGAGTTGTTTGTTTACCTCTTCATAGTTTCATTAAGAGACAGTCTGAATCGTTAAGAGATGAATCTTGTTTGGAAAAAAAAGTCTGTATCTTAATAGTTCTAAAACCCTCTGAATTAGAAGACCCAATTGTTAGAATTCGATCCATTGTGAATATGTGAGGTCTTCTCCTGCTAGGCTCCAACGTTCTAAAGCATGTGTTGAGAAAATATAAATTGAGGGTAAAACTCCCGTTTGCCTTGATGTTGGATCAAGTTTCAAGTTGTGTTTGATATGTTGGAGGAACAAGATCGTAAGTATTGAAAGGTATGCCCACATTGGGACTACGCAAAGTGTTTGTTGGTTTTTTAAGAGGTTTATATGCTTCTACTTTGCGTATTTCTGGGTCTTTATACGTCGCCAGCAATAGTTACGTCCATGAAGTCTTTGGCATTGGAGCAATGAGTAGAAATAAGATGTCTGTTAGAGATGCAAGTCTTACAAAGATGACTCCTAGAATGAAGGTGAAGTATGAAAAAAGAAAAAGCTAAGGGGCCGTTTACTAAACGCTTGCTTGGTAAGTGCTTACCGGATAAATTTTGCTCATTGGATGAACATGACAAGGGCCAAGAATCTTACAGGATAAGAGCGATGAGAAAGATGTAGAGTCTTACCCGATAAGTGAAGATGACGACTCTTACCCCAAGTAAGTGCTTACCTGGTAAATTGTTGCATTTGATACGTTTGATGTACTAAAATCTTACGCATCGAGGTAAATTATAGTGTTGACTCCTATAAGTAAGCACTTACCAGGTAAGCATTTGGGTAAACAGCCCAAGTGTGTGTGTGATATCAAATAGAGAGAGTATTGAGAGCTTTGTTAATCTTAGGGAACATTAACCCCTACATTGGTTGAGGCATTGGTATGTTCCCAAAATTGGCTTAGGTCCAAAAATGTTTTTTTTTATTAACCTGGATATTCAATCTTTTATGTGAGCTGACTAATCCTAGGACGATCACATGTTTTGCAGATAGCCCGGAGTAACCGTATTTGAACCTCCGTAGCTACAAGAGGTTTTTTATTTCTCCTTGTATTTGAACCTAAGATCTGCTGGTACTTTTGACATTTGGAGCCAAGCTCAAACGAATCAAGCACCACCCTTGTGGTTAAAAATGTTCCTATCGATATCGAGGAAAAGTTAGAAGATCTTGAAAATTTTGAAGCATATACGATTTGTAATTCTGTACGTTTTTTATTCTTCTGTCTCTTTTAATGGACATTCTTTTTACTATTTCAGATCTAAAGGAGTTGACCCAAGTTTTGTCATCCATTACGATAGATGATTAAATTCGGTGGTATACATGGTGAAGCCTTGAAGGAGTCGACATCAAGCCATCAACCGAAGAGTGGATATCTTTAAACGATAAAAATTATTTTAATTTCTTGTTCTTGCATTATTCTAATCTATTTGTTATGTAATTGGTTTGAATTTTCTATTTTGGTATTATTTTTATGTTGCAAATAATATTTTCTATAAATTCGGGTTACCAACTTACTTTGGTTCGGTTTGATTCATCCTGCAGTTGGTTTCGGTTCGGATAACCAGGTATCCACCTAATGCGGTTTGGTTTGCATTTTTTTCCAGCTAACCAGGTTGAACCGAACCGTGAACACTCCTATCTAGAACATTCACAAGATATTCATCATGAATATTGTAAAATAATCACTTTCATTATTCATGATGAATAAGGACATGTGTCGCACTCTCGTTTGTCTCCCAGTTTACAATGTAAAACATGTTTACAATCACTTCTTTTGCTAATCCCCAATTTATACCAACTTTACAAACCAAACATAATCACTAATATAGTTTCCATCTTTTGTTTTGTTTATGTGAGAATCAAATAAAGAAAAGGGTAAAACTGTATTTTCCTATTAATTTAAAATAATAAGGTATATTTTATTTAATAATTGAGTCCTTCATGTTTAGTGAAAATTTTGAAAATAGGAACCTGAATTTTGATAAGTCAATAAAACATCCTTGTGGTTTGTATTTGGCTCTAAAAATAGTACCTAATCACTAATTCTGTTAATAACTTTCCATTAAGTGAAGGGTATTTTCGTCTTTTTATGATTTTTTAAAATTATTTTTTACAATTTGTTTTATTAAATACTCTTTGACTGTTCCGGCCATCCTTGATTTGCAACTTCCGGCTGCCACCAACCCCTCTTCTGATCATCTTTTCCGGCCAAAACTTAGAACTCCCACACACATACAAGTCCATTCACACTAAAAACTCAATCAAAATCCAAACGTCCAAATCAAAATTAAACAGAAACACCTCAAAATCAAAATCTATATCCCAAACCCTTGCAACATACACCAAAAAACTAAAACCCATTTCTGGAACTTACACCAAAACACTGAAATCAATTTCTTAAATTTATACAAAGCAACTAAGGGTACTGTTATTTTTCTTCTCCATTCCCTTCGGGAATATGATGGCTAAAAGCAGGGTGGGTAAAAGGGCAATGACCAAATGCGTGGAACCCATTTCGACAGTGGGCTATAAGATAAATAGTTAAACCCCTTCCCAGTTCCCACCATATTTGAAGGCCGGTGGGTTTCTGGAGCTGAAGGCATGAGCAACTCTAACCATGTTATGTTGCCCTTCTAATTACTAAAACTCAATTTTTTCGGCGAAGGGAGTGAGGGAGAGGAGAAGAGGAAGCCGATGGTGATGGTTTGTTAATGTCGATGATGGTTAACAAATGTCTTGTATTTTATAATTTAACTACTAAAATAATTAACATTTCATTTAATAACGCTACCGAGGACGGGGAGCACCGATAATGCGGTGGTGCAGTGGTGCAGGGGGTTTCAAACTGGGTTCTTTACCAAACTAACCACCCAAATTTAATAAGTTACATTTTTAACCCCATTTTTTAATTTTTTTATAAAATGGTCTTGGATTATCCTGTTAGCACCGTTAAGTGCGTATAGGAACCATTTTTCAGTTAATGAAACTTAATTTTAAAATAATATAATATCACATAATTCTGTTGTTATTTTTTGTATTTAATTAGGATTGGTTTTTGTAGCAAATGATTTAATCAACTTGAATTTTATTATTTTACAAATCAAATTACATCAAATTGATGCATGCTTTTCGCATCTTATTTAAGAGTTTCCTTAAACATTCTGGACCTTCCATAACCAAACTAATAATCAACACAAAATCAATTTCTATTTTTGACGATTGGATTGGTGAATTTGTTCGCTTTTTGGTGGTTCATGTGTCTCGAAGCAACATCTATTTAGGCAAAGATCATCAACAATCTTCCAATACGCTAATTAACCTCGATTTCAAGATTCATCAAAGTACCAACTGAAAACCATGAGCCCTAAATCATCATCTACCCTGGTCATCACTACCCTCCTGCTCTTCGCGTTTTTCGAATTGGGTGTTTGCAGAGAGGTAAGGTTGCTATCAGATAATATTCAAGAAATTCCCATTGTAGAGGGCGGCGAACAAGAGGACCTCGTTCGATTTGCGATCGATGAACAAAACAAAAAGGAGGTACTATTGTTGCTTGATTTTTAGAACGTATTTTCTTTTGGTTTTCAATATTTTATCATTATATATATATATATATATATATATATATATATATATATATATATATACCTATTTGCCTTCTCGCTAATTCCCTCGGATCATTCTTACCATTTTTGGCATCGAACATCAATTTAGAACCAAGTTATTTCAACAAGTCATCCATTTGTTACACAAAAAACAGTGTTATAAAAAAACAGTGTTATAAACAGTAACATTTATTTGCACGATACCTATATTATATTAAAAATTAGTTTTATATCAATTTTTAAGTTTATATGTATTCAAACTTATTTTAAAAGCTAATATTTTTTTAAATAATTTTACAACATGATAAATTATTTAAATTAAAACAGGTACCACAATATATACTTTAATATGGAAACATATGAATTTAATTTGCAATTAATTATGAATAATATTATTTATTAGGTTATTGTAGAAAACATAAGTATAATTAGTAAATTTAATAAATAAATAAAATTATTGAAATTTTATATCATTAAGATATCGTTTACACCAAAATAATATAAGATTCGATTTCAGATACCATTATGTGTTTATTCTGAATATCCATACCCTCTTCTAAAAATGATAGATTCATATACTGTTTTTAACAGCCAAACCACTCGTATTCAGCTCCACTTTGAGATGCATCTGTTTATAGAGGTTATCTGAACGTGGTTTTAAAACAAATTATCGTGATGATAATTTGTCTTGAATGTAAACTGATCTTGACTATAATTTTTCTGGATTATTTAAGGAGTAGGGTCACGATAATCGTATTATTTGCTTGTCATTAAGCAAAGGATTATCAAGATAATAGTGAAATTACCTATAAATGTTGATAAGTAATGGATTATTTAATTATGAAACGAAGTTTTGAGGACATATAAAGCCATTTTGAATTACTAGAAGGGTACTCGTGCAATGCAGCGAGATACATCTTATTTTAATGTTCTATTTTATTCTTTATCTCTGTCGATGTAATAATACGATTTTATGTGTTTTTAAGAAAATAATAATGATTTTTATTTTTGAATAAAATATAAATTTGAATATATCATAAAAATTTGAAAAAAAAATATCAATGTTAATATCAAATCAACTATTTAAAAGTTCTCATTTTTTATGTAATTTATTTATTTATATTATAATTTAATTTAAGTTTAATAATGAAATAATTTATTTTTGGTTTATTAATATAACATTTTATAAAAATAATAATTAAGTATTCTGTTAGAACTCAATGATTATCATAACTATATTTTAGATTTTTTATATTTAAAATGAGTTGTTTATCCTGTATTTTGATTATGTATATCTGCAGTTAGTTACACGAATTCAGATGTGGATCTTTAATAAGTTGTACTTACGCACAATCTACTTGTAATCTTGAGTTTTAAGTAATATGTATTAATAAACAGTACTTTATGCATAAAAAGAGGTTTTTAAAAGTTTTTGTCAAATGCTTTATAATATAGTATAGATTTATACGTTTTAATATATATATATATATATATATATATATATATATATATCTAATTTTTCTTTTTTATTGCTTACTATTTACTAGCTCACATCTTTTCAGAAATTAGGGATTTTCACGAAAACGGCCGATCTACCATTTTGAATATAAAACATATATGTATACATTTCACCTCTCGTTAACCCTTCTTTTACGCAAATATATTGTCATTTCACCTCTCGTTAACCCTGCTGTTATATATGTATAGAGCTGCTTTGGTTTGGTTATATCAATCATATTCCTTTAGAATTGTTTATTTCTTCCGTTTCTCGTTTGAGAGAGAAAACGTTTGTTAGTTTTGAGTTACTTATTTCTTTTCATCTGCAGAATTCTAAGCTTGAGTTTGTTAGATTGGTGGATGTGAAAGAACAGGTGGTGGATGGTAAGATGTATTATCTGTCTTTCGAGGCAAACGATGCTGGTAATATAAAATTATACGAAGCTATAGTTTTGGTGATACCGTGGAGAGATAACTACAGGGAGGTGGAAGTCTTTAAGGCTATCGATGAGGCACATGTAGGGTCCCCAGAACACAATCCGTTTAACCTCGAGGGTTAAACCGCGTAGACAAGTCTAATTTGCTTCAATGTAATAAATATACATATATTTTTATAAACACAAAATACAGTGTACAAAAATTTGAAATCTTTAAACATCGTCATTAATTAAAGTGGAACTCGTCGACATTTTTTTTTGTAGCTTCTGAAGTCTTGTGTAATTTCCTTAAACAAATACTTTCAGTAATTTCTCTTTCGATAAACAAAACCACGAGTCATTCAAAAACTCGTCGTGAGCAATAACAAGAAATCAACAATGTCTAAGAGGTTGTGTACCAAACGTCAGTAAGCATTTACCGTAAGAGACATCACCCTTGTTTAGTTACATTATCGTGTAACATACTTGGCCAATAAAATGAGATTGTTGGTAAGCGTCTTAAACCCGGTAAGTGCTTACCGGCTAACAGTCTTTTCCCTTACTTACCAGATAAGACTCTCGGTCCTTGCCTTGGTTCTTACCGAGTAAGAATTTTGGTAAGGTAATATGACTTGGTAAACATTTACCTGGATAAACATTTGGTAAACAGCCCATTAGTCACATAGTTAGTGGGTTAGGTAATCCATTCTTTAAAACAATATGGAGTTTTCTTCGTGTTGAAGGAAACAATCACATGTCGGGCCATTATCGTTGTACACGAGTTTATGAATACTAAAGACTTATATCGTGTAATCGTGTTTTGTTCAAATGGTTAAAATTTATTCAAAATAACGTTTATATTTTACCTATAAATTATGCCCTTACTTGGTTACTTGCAATGTAATTAGGAGTAAGTTGTATCAAAATAGCACGTACGTTCATGTTTCTATATTCAAAAACTCCATTTTACGAAGCATGCGTATGTCTTTTAATGCAATTACAAGAATATATACTTATAACTCTATGAACAAAAAAGAGAAACGGATCATATTTTGTCTGCAACCGATCACCTTTGAAAAAAAAATGAAGATTACTTGTATTTGACTGTAAAATCCTAAAAATAAAAACCGAAACAATATATATATATATATATATATATATATATATATATATATATAGGGTATATTTCTTTTACAACCTTGTGTATTTGTACAACTCTTGCAACCCAATTAATTGAGATAT